TCGCTCAGCTGGTGATCTTCTTGTTTACCTAACACATAGATGGGCGCAGGCAATCGAGTCCAAAGAGAGGCATTGGCCGTTAGTTTGGACATTGCGAAGGCCTTCGATCGGGTCTGGCACAAAGCGCTTCTTTTGAAGCTTCCTTCCTATGGGCTTCCGGAGAAATTGTGCAATTGGATCACCAGTTTTCTGGCTGATCGGACCATCAAGGTCGTAGTAGACGGTGCATGCTCTGATTTCAAGCCTATCAACGCTGTTATTCCACAAAGCTGCGTGCTATCACCAACGCTGTTTCTTCTCCATATCAATGATATGTTGCAAACCGGTAACATACATTGCTATGCAGATGACAGCACCGGTGGTGCTCTATACATCGGCCGTGCCAGTATTTCTCGGGAAAACGTCGCCGTGTACCGGAACAAACTTGTGTCTGAAGTCGAGACTTTGTTAAACAAAGTCTCGGATTGGGGGCGACTAAATCTAGTCCAGTTCAATCCCCAGAAGACACTAGTTTCCGCGTTTACCGCTAAAAGGAACCCCTTTGTCGTATCTCCTCAGTTTGAAGGCACTCCCCTTGTTGCCTCAGCTAGTATCGGAATCCTCCGCGTCGACATATCGAATAGTGTGCAGTTTCGTGGTCACTTGGAAGAGAAGGCCAAATTGGCCTCTAAAAAGCTTGGCGTGATCAGCAGAGCGGGACAGTGTTTCATGCTGGCACACCGCCTCCAACTTTACAAGGCGCAGTTTCGGCTTCAAATCGAATACTGTTCCCATCTCTGGACAGGGGCTCCCCAGTGCCAGCTCCTTCCACTTGACCGCATCTAGCGCAGAGCGGTTCGAATCGTCGACGACCGAGTTCTTTCCGATCGGCTTGACTCACTGGTACTGCGTTGAGATGTTGCATCTCTTTGCGTATTTTATCGAATTTACCATGTAGAGTGCTCTGAAGAATTGTTCGGACTAATTCCAGCCAGACAAAACTTGCGATACCATCCATATCACCTGGATGAATGGCGGTCCATCACTGTGCGATTTAGAAGATGCTTTCTTCCTCGCACAACTTCCTTGTGGAATCGATTACCACCAGCGAATTTTCCGGACCGATAAGACTTAGGGACCTGCAAGAAAAGAGCCTACTCCTTTTTAAAATGGCGGCAACGCATCTGCAATTCCCCTGGTGTTGCAGTTGTTCATGGGCGATGGTAGTCACTTACCATCAGGTAAGCCGCATGCTCGTTTGCCCCCTCTTCTATAAAAAAATATGGTAGCTCTCGAACAATGAAAATCATCTGAACTCGTTAGTTTGTTCAGCGCAAAGAGTCTTTTTAGGGTTCCGTAGTAAAATAAGAAGGAACCCTGTCTGTTCGTGGCTTAGCGTAGAGACTTTTGATACTCTAAAGAGCTGTAATTTTGCGTGGTTATACATGAATACCTAAAATAAAAAAGCTCTAAGTACCAAAACAAAAATTGGTGGAAGTGGGTTGCCTCAAAAACAATCCCAAATACAAGTACACAAAATGAATAACACTTACAACATCTGTTAACAGTAATGTTGGTAAAGCATTACAGAATAATTTGTGTTATCCACTATCTGTAGACAAACATTGAACTTGGAATTAATCAAAGTGCATCGAACAGACAGTACTTGTTCGGGTAGGTTCCCGACCCCTTTTTTGATTGCTCAATTGTGCCCATCTCAAAGATCGTAAGAGGACCGGCCGACCTCGTACAGTTAGGACACCTGCGACCATCAAAGCAGTGAAGGCGCGAATCCAACGAAATCCTGTTCCTAAACAAAAATCTTAGCTCTTCAGATGGGCCTAAGCAGAACCACGGTCAAAAGAGTGATCAATGAAGACCTAGGACTATGAGCTTATCGTAAGAAGACCGGACAATTTTTGAACATTGAAAATGTTTTTCTGTGAAAAAGGTGTAAAACGAGTGCCGAGGTGTACCAAAATACCGTCTTAACAAACATAGTGGAACCTGTTTCTCAAACAATGTTCAATCTCATCAGAATTTGGAACCTCTCCGAGCATCTTTGGCTAAAGCAGCGGCAGAAATAGATATGAATGTGGTGCGTGCTGCGATTAATAATTGGCCGCGTCGATTAAGGGCATGTATTCAAAATAGGGGAGGGTATTTTGAATAATGTAAATAAAATTGTATTGTAAATGAAATTACCTTTCATTTCATATATAATTTCTATATAATTATGAAAAAATGGACCTCTACCAACATTACATGCTCACCGCACCCACTCTTTGAGCTACGGCTGCGGTATGGCTGTGGACAAAGTCAAAACACAAAATAAAATGAAGTAAGCAAGTCTACAATTTAACAGGGTCATTAATCACCCAAATAGACTCTGGTTAGTCAACTGAAATAAGCTTGGCTTTCAGGAATTTCTCTCAACCAATTAAAAAGTTGACCGCTTGTTATTATAAAATATTATTTTTAAAGCAATATTTAAGACAAATTTAATTCCCTCGCGCATGAAATGTTGACCGGCAGCAGAGGTAAATATCCGCCTGCAACGTTCCATGCCGACAGCATACTTCCGTTTAAGAGCAAACGGCACAGCATATATAACATAGCCTTAATCACATTAATCTAAGATTATATATGGGCGGTAACAGAAACTTGATCCCACTTCGATTTAGGCGAAAGAGGATCATCCTCAGATGCACTCATGATGGATGGCGCAAACATGCGTGCGTTACAACGTAAAGTACGTGGTACGTTCTCCGATGATGCTTTCTTCAAAATTCCTATAAACAACAACGATTGTACGACCAAACAACAAGATACAAAAATACTACGCTTCGCTAAACCTTTACTCTCGAGTGGCCAGTATTTTACAGTCGTGCCGCTATATATATATTTATATATATACATAGATTAGAATTGAATATGTAAACTGATTAGTGATATCACTTTGAAATTAATGTGCCATTTTCATATATTAATATGTTATTGAATTTCATTTATAATATATAAAGTTTTTTACATTAGTATTTGAATGAAAAAGGAGGTATAAATATTTTTGTTTATTTAATATGATTTACCGTTGATTAAATGTTACCTTGTTTTATTTAAAATAGAATATTTGTTAGTTAAAATTGATATTTTACAGCTTTCTTCTTATTTTAGATTGGACTACATATGTAATCCACGCGACCACTTACGTGTTTTTATAAGGCGCAACAACTGCACGGTTAGGGAATAGTCTCGTTACACTTATTTAGCTGTCATGTTATGCGTTTTTTAGAACGTCAAATTTAAATTGCTATACAAAAATAAAATAATCTCGTAAGAAGTGCGGTTGTACTTGCGTGTTCAAATTTAAACCTAATTAGTAGCGGACGAGGGTAGAAATTGTTTAAAATAATCACAAATAGTCTCGTGGGGAGTGCGGTTGTCACATTGCGACTATCACTGCGATTTTTATGAAATATTACGTACTCCATTACCTAATCGGGTTCTCGATTATTATTTATAATAATATTTGAAATGATTTTAATAAAAAAAAAAACATGTGTCACACTAAAAATACAAATAGAGTGTAACTCTTTCTTTGTTGTAACTTTTAAATATTTGACTGCTTTAAGCACACGTTATCCGCACAGATCGACATTTTTCAAAGAGCAACTACATCGGTGGATATAATTCTTGTAAAGATAAAATCGATTCCGTAAATAGTTTTTTATAAACGCACAAGATTTTTAAATATAATACCGTGGCAAAGGTGCAATCGTAAATCTTGCGAGGCGAGTCCATTAGATTATATGGTCTAAGAAAATTAATGACGATGTTAATGGTTTTATCCTGTGGTTTTCTACGCTGCTTAGTGACGGCGTGGGGATATCCACTACACCATATTGTCCTGTCGGTATCGTAAGTGGTGACTAAGGAAAACTGAAGCAGGAGATGGGCAGCAACATCATCCTAATAACAGCTGAAAATAATAACAACTACGATTGCCAACCCGTCTGCCAAGGGTGACAACTATCGCAAAATACCTCTATGAGGCAATATATGTGAGCCTATCTTCGGCAGTGAACCTTTGATAGGCTGTAATGAATGGAATGTTTTCTTCATCAGCCCATTAATCTACTGCTGGACGACTGGATGATTTGATTTTATCATGAAGCTTGGTAGGCGGATTGACGATCGCACTACTAGACATATCGCAAGTTTGACGCTGCTGTCCATCACTGGTTTGGGTAATTTACATCTAACGTAAGCAAGATGGTATACATTGAACGGTGGTAGAGCTACGCGGCATTTTTTGCTGTTGCACGTATGGGCCGGCTCAAACCGGGTTGGTACCACGACCTCACAGAATACCGGCGTGAAGTAGAAGCTCTGCTTCTGCGTTTCGTCTGGTGAGTGCAGGTGGCCGGAGGCCCAATCCCACCCCCCTCCCCAATCAACATGCTAGCAGAATTATATCATAGACTACCCCAGGAGGGTACCAGCACCCCTGGAGAATCCCTCGCTGAGCATCCACGACCATGTTGTAAGGGTAATAGATAATAAATAATAGATAAGAGAATAAAAGTAGAAATGGAACGTAAATTTTAACGTGAAAGCTGACGGAAGTATGGTAACAATATGGGTACGAAAGAGTAAGATAAAAATAAAGAAGTTTAAATGGTGTGCAAGCGAGATAGATAATTGTAACTATATAAGTGTGTCGAAAGAGAAAATAGATCATTATTTGTAATGGCGATATGTTTCATTTCTATCTTACATGGCGCTCGGTGAAAAATAATTGTTATATTAATATTCACGTCTCGAATATTCGAATATTATAAATAAGTTTAGTGAAGTTTACACTAAAAGTTTTTTGTTGGAACCACGCATAAGGTTCGTGAAGTAACGGTTCATTTATTTCAACCATTTATTTTCACCACGCCATGAAGCAGTTATAAAGTATTGAAATTACAATCCAAATTAACCTTCAATTGAATTTAAAGTTAATAGCTAATATAACAATGGAATCAACAAAGTCCGAAGATTTGGAAAAATTTACAGTCCAACAATTGAAGGACGAATTAAAGTTACGATGTTTACTAAGTTCTGGCATAAAAAGCGAATTAATTACAAGAATCGTAAAAGACAATATTATTAAATTGGCACATGGAATTTTGGAACGATTAAAATCTGAAAAAATTAGAAGGCAATCTGAGCAATTGGAGTAAAAAACCTTAAAATTGAAATTGGAACAGTTACAAAAGGAAAAATAGGTAAAGGATGAATCAGATACGTCCTCAAACTTTAACATTTTTTATTGTTATTGTCACAAATTTTACAAAATCAATCAGATTTAATTAAACAATTGGAATAGACCAAACACAATTCCATACAAGTATTTTTGACATCTGACACTAGTCAAGCTATTCCCTTATTTGGGGGAAATAAAACTGAAAATGCAGTCGATTGGGTAAGGCAAGTAGAAAGAGTATCATAGTTGGCAAATTGGTCGGAAAATTTAACCTTAGTCAAAGCATCAATGAGGTTAAGGGGTCCAGCAAGTGATTGGCACAAAGCGTTAGGCAAAAAAATTGAAAATTGGCAGGAATGGAAAACAAATTTAGTAGAGAGATTCAGTGTGAAAATGTCATTTGCAGAGTTTATAACCTCACAGAATACCAGCGTAAAATAGCAGTTTAATGCTGCTGTGTTTCGTATGGTGAGTGTAGAAAACCGGAGACCCTTTTTACTGGAAAAGAGGCATTCTATCTTAGTCCTCACGGGTGACAACGTATCTGCATTTTGATTCGTAATCGAGGATAGATGCAGATATGTATGGGCCACAGTAACCACTTACTATCAGGTGGACTGTGTGCTCATTTGTCAACCTTATCATATAAAAAAAATAAAAAAAATAACCTATCAATCAAAAATAATATTGAGGCCTACGGAAACAATTGCAGGATACATTTATAATAAAAATGCTTTATTTGAACGTTCTCCGACATGTATTACAGATGCAGACAAAGTATCACTTGTCCTGGAGGTCATCATCGATCATCGCTGATCAGTCCCATTCGCTACTCACTGATGTAAAAATGTGGAAGAGCTATTAAAACATGCGTCTGTATTAGATAATATTAGAAGCACCCAACTAAAAGAAAGGTATTGCCTAAATAATGGTACAAATGCTGTAAGTACATATAACCGAGTACAACATAAATACAATTAGTTTATACCTAAATACAATCCATAGGTAGACAAGGAGGTGGACCAAGTATGTTTTCGTTGTAGAACAAAGGGTCATATTTCATATAACTGCAATGTACCACCACAAGTACATAAACAAAATACTTGAACTAACAAATATGAACACAATAAAGAACAACAGTCCACTAGCTCAATTAGTCAAAATAAAATGTAAAACAAGTCAATTGTGTACAAGGAATCACACCTAATGTTACATTAATACCAGTTATATTTAACATCACAATACAACTTTAAGCACTTCCGGATTCAGGGTCTGTCATTACATTAATAGATAAAAAGTGTTTACCAGAGGATACTCAAGTCAGTCCATGGCAGAAAGGAAATTATAGAGTAGCAGATAATATACTTACCCCTATTGGATGGCTGTATGCGAGAGTTCAGGTAGGAAAAATTGATTATTTTATGCCTCAAATAGCTATCTGTGAGAATTTACCTATACCAATGAAGGATTGGCAACTTGCTGTTGATGCACGTATTATTCATGAACCTGATGGGAAGATTTGTATTATTACTCCCACATATACCGAATATTTTCCGAATCTATCTAAAGAAGATAACTTGATAGCTTGTTGTATGAAAACAAATAAAACATTCGTTTAAAAATTACACAGAACTACAGGGATAGTGCAATGCAGTTAGTTTCTGAATATAATGATATTTTTAAAAGTAACTCAAATGGTATAGGAAAATTCCCAAATTTTGAACTTGAAATAAAAGTAAAAGACAGTAAACTCATTAGCTGTAAACCATATAGATTACCAGAACCAGAGCGTTTATTTCTAAAACAAACTATAGAACAATGGTTAGAACAATTTTAGATTATCAAATTCACCCTATGCAGCACCAATGTTTGTAGTACCACAACCATTTCATGAAACTTCACCATACAGATCAGTAGTAGATTACGCCATAACAATAAATCTAATTACCATTTTAGATGCTCAACCATTTGAGAGAATGGATGATATAATTGCAAATCTTTCCCAATTTGTCTATAAGTTTAAGCTAGATATTTACCATGCTGATCACAATATTTGTATAAAAGAAGAAGTTATTTTCAAAATTGCAGTAGTCAAACAAGACTGTCATGTAGAGTTTATGCGAGTAATGTTTGGTTTAGTAGAGGGACCATCAATTATATCAAAAGTAGTAAAAACAACTTATGGAAAATTGTTTAATGATGTAATAAGGGCATATTTCGACGACATCACAGGTGGAGCTAACTCAATTAATGATTTCCTAATAATTTTAAGACAAGTTTTCGAACTAACTCGACAAAAAAATCTTAAATTAAATCAGAAAAAATGTATTTTTATTGACATAAAAATACCACTGTTTGTAAAATTAGTAGGTTATAAGCAAGAAAGAGTATATCCAAAACGTACAGTAGCTGTTGAATAATATAAGACATTATCAACATTTACAGAAGTCAGATCATTTTAGGGTTTACAGGATTGTTTAGAAAATATATTGAAGATTATGCTACAATTGCACAACCCCTTAATAATATTTTGAAAAAGAAAAAAGAAGAGAACAACAAGGAAAAGGCTAACCATACTAAGAATAAAAAAATTACATTATCAGAAGAACAACAAAATTTATTTATTGCATTAAAAATATTAATAACATCAGCTCCTGTTTTAGCTAATTTTCAGCAAAATGCAGAAACTATTGTGGAGACAAATAGCAGCCACCAAAGAATGGGTGCATGTTTATTTCAAATTCAGGACGGACAGAAAAAAGTTATAGAATATGCAAGCCGGTGTTTGAAAGATGCAGAGACAAGATACCATATTAATGAATTAGAAGTTACTGCAGTTCATTGGGCAATTGTAAGTAAATTCAGAATTTATTTATTAGGAACAAAGTTTATATTGATAACAGATAGCTATCCCACAGCATATATTATTGACAGAGCTAAATTAAACAGAAAATTTGCCCGCTATGTAATAGATTTTGCACCATTTGACCTTACGCCTGTACACAGTCCTGATAAAAAGAATTTAATCGCAGATCATTTATCACGCTACCCTTTAAGTGAAGTTTGTTTTACAGTTGTTAGTAGTAATTCTAAGAAATTGAAACAAGATCAAATTACAGACCCTTTCATTCAACAAATTTTTACAAAGTTAGCGAAAGACCCTACTACACAGCATTTGAAACAAATCCACAGTTCATGTAAATTATTAGATGGAATTTTAGTAAATGTTCTTAAAGAGTAAAAGATAAAATTGTTGTACCTTATAGTTTAAGAACAACAGTTATCAAAATTGCACATGATGATAATGGAAATCTAGAATACATTACTACATTAAATAAGATAGAAAAAAAATACTGATGGAAAACTATGAGACGAAATGTAAAAGCATATACATCAGCATGTATTATTTGTGCTAAGACTAATCGACGTACTAAGTTAGCCTATGGTGAAACCTTTTCATTATCGCCACAAAGTGTAGTAGACACAATTGAAAATGATATTATATATAGATATGGACCACCTTTAACATACTTTTCTGACAGTGCACCATGTGTTATAAGCCAGCCAATGCAAAATTTATTTCAAAAATATGGTATAGAGCATTTGCCAACTACACTTGATTGAGGTGTACAGACACCTCAATCAAATGGATTATGTGAAAGAGCCAATGCTATTATAATATCTACACTAACTAAATTTTGTATTGAAAATAAAAAAGACTGGGACAAGTTATTGCCAAAAACTATCATCATCATCATCATCATCATTACAGCCATTCACAAGTCCACTGCTGAACATAGGCCTCCCCCAAAGAATGCCACAAAGCACGGTCCTGAGCCACCTGCATCCATTGACTTCCTGCATGTCTTACCAGGTCGTCACTCCATTTCGTGGGGGGGACGCCCTACACTTCGCCTACCGGTACGAGGCTGCCACTCGAGAACCTTTCTTCCCCATCGGTTGTCGGTTCTTCGAGCTATATGGCCTGCCCATTGCCACTTCAGCTTACTAATCCGTTGGGCTATGTCGGTTACTCTGGTTCTACTGCGGATATCCTCATTCCTAAGTTTATCACGCAGAGAAACTCCGAGCATAGCCCTCTCCATAGCTCGCTGAGCGACCTTGAGCTTCCTCATCCGGCCAGCAGTGAAGGACCACGTCTCAGTTCCGTATGTCATCACTGGCAACACGCACTGGGTGTACAGTCTCGTTTTCAAGGTTTGAGGTATACCTGACGAGAAGATGTGCCGTAATTTCCCGAACGCTGCCCAACCGAGTTGAATCCGTCGTTTGACCTCTCGGTCGAAGTTGGACTTACCTAGTCGGACTATTTGTCCCAGGTAAACATACTCGTCAACAACTTCGAGCTTAGTGTTCCCAACAACTACCGGCATAGGTGTGACATGGACATTAAACATGATCTTAGTTTTGTCCATGTTCATCTTAAGACCTATCCGTTGGGAAACACTATTGAGGTCATTGAGCATAGTGCTTAGGTCCTCCAGCGATTCTGCCATAAGGACTATATCGTCGGCAAATCGAAGGTGACTGATGTACTCGCCATTGATGTTGATACCGTATCCTTTCCAGTCCAGAAGCTTGAAAACGTCTTCCAATGCAGCGGTGAAGAGTTTCGGGGATATGACGTCACTCTGTCTTACACCTCTCTGCAATTGGATAGGTTTCGTACTCTGGTTGTTCGCGCCAAACACTTTCAAGGATTGACGCGAGATGTCACTCGGCTCGGCGCGATACCGGTTTGACTTTCGGTCGTGCGAAAAACGCCCAAGGGCAGTCTGTCGTCTTTAATCGGTGCTGACGTGAGCACGCGGTCCATTCTGTTAGGGAACTCGGAATAATTAGGTGCGGCCCGTAAATATACGGTCTAGGATTTGTGACGCGCATTCCTGCTGGAGAACTTCCCGGGACCGACTCAGAATCTGTATAAGTGCATTCGACAATATTAGCTAGTGCGGCCTCTGATATTCTAGAAATAACTGTTGCAACGCGAAACGGTAGTGACCTTTAATAAACTGTAAACTCCGTGTGCGTTTTGTGAGTTAACCTTATACCCAGCGATAGTTAGTGGCTCCTGTAAGCTAGTTAATCGTACGATAGAGTTAAGTGACTGTCATCGTGACGAGAGAAGAAAGTGACTGTGGGCAACCTCGGAAGGCCCCCTCAAGTTGGAGCGGTGTCGACGCTCGGGCTGCTGCCGACGGCCAAGGTCTAGGTTCAATCACCATCAGTCACACCCAGATACACATCACATCACTTATTTCCCTTTCACTACACAACCACATGTGACCTGACCGACTCCGGAGGGACCAGTCGCCTTGGATATAGGTAAGTGAACTCCGCCTAATTCCTCTGCCGGTCGACTGGCCATAGTATAGAACGCTCCCCCATATATTTTAGTGTAATTCGAGAGATTCCACGTGGCCACATTGAGGCCCGACCTACGTCTGTTCGGGAAGTCTTCAGCTCATGGGCCCCTGAGGATTGGATCCTTTAAGGGAGCAGCCGTAGGCCGTAACAAACTGGTAACAGAGCGCGGTTCCGGGTTCGATTCCCGGTCGATCCCGACCATAGTGGTTGATAAACATTAAACAATTCTGGTGGCAGGGAGCGTTGGTTTGATTGGTTTAATTTGTATCTACAATCACGCCCGTCCGTAATACGTAAAAATATTTTTTTGTACGTAATAATAGAATTATTTCCCTTTCTTCTTTGTTGCTTGCCTTTTTTCGGTTAGTGGGTAGATTTGAAAAGCCGCGCCCTAGGTTGCGCAAGCGGGAGTTTTTCTAGAGATATACGTCATGTAGGTAGATGGTTATTTTTACGTAATCGGTTAATTATCGTTGTCGGATAGTTGTAGTGGATTACTTATCGAAGGGTCGATTTCCGAGCTAGGCATTTTTTGTTGATCGACCGTGATGTGTATCTTCGTTTATACTGTAATTTGTATTTGAACTAAAGAGTAGTAATTGTATTTGCGCAATTTGAATTTAACTTGATTTGATCGCACTAGTATTTGTTATTTGTTAATTTGATTTGTGTCTTTTCTTTTGTGCTAACTTGTATTTGGTTGATACGTAGTAATTCGTATTTGTGTAATTTCTATTCAACGCGATTTGATAGGAACTGCATTTATTAACTGTTAATTTTTGTTGTATTTTTTGTTTGTTATCTTTGTAATCTGTGCTCAAGCCGCGTCGTAATTTGCATTTAATAGTGATGACATCGCCCAAGCTACTGATCCGTTGTTTGCGGACTGAGCTACGCTGGGCCACAAGCGCCCATGCTTTGATAGGTCGACCGGATAGGGTCCATAACTTGATGAAGCAGTTCGAGCAGGTGGATGCTCGAAGGGCCGCAGTGGAGGAGGCTTACTCTGAGCTCGAGGATTCGGATGTGGAGACGGGAGTCCTGGACTCCTGCCTCGCGGACTATGAGCAGTTCTTGTGGCTCACGGACGAGTTGATCGAGGCTGAAGGCAGGTATGCCGAGGAGGCGCGTGAAGCTCGGATGAGTGACCTGTCCGAGTCCTCTCTGAAGCAGCTTCAGCCGGATCTGTTGGGACGACTCCCAACTCTGGACCTGCCAAAGTTCTCCGGGGTCCTTTCCGAATGGCTGACCTTCGTTGGTCTTTTCGACAGCCTAGTGGACGCCCGGAGTGACTTGACCCCGAGCCAAAAGATGGTGTACCTCCTGGCCTCACTGGAGGGAGAGGCCCTGGGCGTCGTCGGCCACTTGAGATTGTCGGACGACGCCTACCAGACTGCTCGGGACCTCCTAGCCAGAAGATACGCCAACGTCCGGCGAATTGCGGACGAACATGTCAAGCAGCTTCTAAGCCTCCCGCTGCTTAGTGACCGGGCCAGACTGCGTCCGGACCTGTTGGATCCAGTCTTGGTGGCCTGTAATACATTGAGGCGGCTGGGTTGTGAGCAGTGCCGGCAGATAGAGAGTGCGGCGGGCACCGTTGACGACTTACGAGCCGTGCCCAGTGAGAGGCTGAATCCTCCAGGCAAGTCGTCGTCAACCCCCCCCCCCCCCCTGCTCCTATTGTCGAGCATCTGATCATCGGGTAACGTCGTGCCCGAAATTATTAGGTAAGCCGGTTCCAGCGAGGCGAACTATCGCCAAGGATCGCCGCTGGTGCTGCTCATGTTTGGGAGGACACCTCCAGCGAGACTGTCCGCATCGGCGGCCCTGTCTGCATTGCCAGGGCAATCATCATGCCGTTTTGTGCCTGAGTGCGAACGGCGTCTCCTCTCGGGGCTCTCCCAGGCCCTCGACCCCCACGGGCCGCTTACGGGTAACACTGGTTCTGTACTCGGATAGCCATCGTAGCCCTACTGTACAAGCACTTCAACACTTCGATATACCGACAGTCAACTTGGCACCGCTGAAGGGA